GGAACAAGTGCATCGCTTCTAGTAACAAGTGCCTTACTAGTAGTAACAAGAAGCTAACTAGGAACAAGTGCATCGCTTCTAGTAACAAGTGCCTTACGTCGGGGGTTTTGAATGTAACTCACTTGGACAACCCAAATCGCACACAATTGCACAATTGGTAAATGTGCTGACTTGCCACAACTAGTGTCGTCCTCTTCCGTCACAACAACAGTGACCCTGGGCAACCTTCTCTCAAAGTTGTTTCTTGGGCACAGCAATTTGATGCGATTTCTATGCTGTGAACTCCCAGCCCAGGCCATCCGGCATCCCCTCAGCGGCCGAGTCCGTCCCGACCTGGGTCTTTCATGGCGTGCATGGTGAAGTCATCCATGGGCACAATCTGAGCGTCGATCCGCCGATGGGTGCATTGATCCGTTGATCGAGTGTCTCTGCGTCACCAGCACCCCCGCCAGGGCTCCGGTCCGTTCCAAGAACTGCCATATCACATCATATCACTACTAGGAGCAAGGATGCTACTAGGAGCAAAGGGCATCGCTACTAGGAGCAAGGACGCTACTAGGAGCACACTGCCCCAAAAGGTCCCAAGCAACGTGCCAAAGACCTTTGGGGTTGACGTTTGAGCAGCTTCAAACACATGGTAAACTGTTGGCTTTTCTGCCACCGGCTCAAACCAATAACGAGAAGAGCGATTCTTGGAACAAGACTTCTCCTGCCCATCCGTTCAGTATCTTGATCTCCTCCCAGTTGTCTTGAAGCTGTGGAGAATTGACCCACATTCCAAAGAACTAACTAGAAGATACTAGAAGCCCTCAAGACTCCTCAAGGCACTACAGTGCTGCCACGCTTACATCCCCCCAGCCAGCTTCTCTTCGCTCGGTGGGGTGCTTCAAAGGATATCAACGCGACGGACCCCTCTCGCGCGATCACCACACGGTCGGCGCCTGGATCTCCAGCTTGTACTCTCGGCCCTTCGAGTCCTCACAGAGTGACATCACACGTCACGCGACCACGTCGTCACCCCATGAAGAGACGACGAAGAGACGACGACCGCGTCGCGTGGCTCAAAGAGCAACTGGAGCCCCAGACCCGCCAGCCGCGCCGCATCATTTCGAGGCTTGCATCCACTTTGCCTCAGACTCATCATCTCAATGCGCAAGGCCGACACTTCCAACGCGCCTATACGAATGCCATCGATGTGTGAAGCAACCGAGCTGCTGTTGCACCAGATCCAGCAACTCTCAGGACCTCGACGAAACTCGTGCGTGGCTCCGAAAAACAGGATGCCGTAAAACCCCCAAACCCGAAGCTACTATGGGCTCCTGGCCTTACTACTAGGAGCGATCGGACGCTACGAACGGGGCTCCTGGCATCGCTACGAACGGAGCATTCTTACTAACTACCTGCACCACCCAGTGGTACAGAAAAATGTGTACTTTTGAGGTGTTTGTAACACTTTTTTGGGAAACGTGCAGATTTTGATTTAGAGCTTCAATTCGAGCAGATTTTTTTGGGGGGGCACCTTGCGTGCAGTTTGGATCAGTTTGGCACAAAACTGACCAAACTGATGCATTGCAAGTGCTTGCTGGCTCAAACATTTCATGCTCCTTGCTTGTCTTGGCTTGTGGAGTCAGGAACCCAGTTGAAAAGTGGGGTTTAGTGTTCAATTCTTGCATTGTGCTTCAGCCTTGTCAGTATGCTGAAATGGCTGAACATATGCAAAGGCTTGGGCAGCCTTTTTGGAGATGATGTGCCCATGCTAACTACAAACTCAAGTTGGACTTGGACTTTGCCGGTGGCAGGGTGCTCAAATTGCTTTCATGGTTTGAAGTGTTCATTTGCATTAAAGTGGGTGTCAAATCCCCCAAGACATGGTTGACTCCGAAATTCATTTGTGCAGGATCCTTGCAATCTATCTTTGCATGTGTTGTCACTGAGGTGTTGTCATCCGTGCCCCACCCTCTGTGTTTTGAGTTGTTTTGAACTATGCAATGTACAAACTTATGTTGGTTGATGTTGGTTGCAGCCGTTTTGGTAGGGATCACGTTGTAGTGTCAGCTTGCAAACATGGTAGTTTCCGAGCAAGCACAAGTTCTTGCTGCAGCATGGGCCAATGATGATGCTGTTAATATGCTTGCAGTCAACCATAGTTTGGCAAGGCTGTCTGCCAAGCAAAAACTCAACCGAAGTATCTTGCTTGAAAGGTTGCACTTGTCATGTGGACTTTGTTTTGCTGAGCAATTGTGTTTGGTGCTGGCCTGGATGAGGCACACTCAAAGATAATGCAGAGCAAATTGGACATGCCATCAAGCACTTGGGTTGTAGACCCTCGTTGTCAGTCATGCTTCAAGCAGTTGAATCCTTCTTTCATCTTGCCCTGCCACGAAAGCATGAAGTGTGTAGTGACGTGTCTGCAACTAGCAACATTTGAGCATGCATCATTGAACACACTTTCCTTTGAGGGTCTCTCTCGGTGTGTGGTTGTCTCTTTCGATTGCTGTGTGGCCCAGGTCTTCGTGCAAAGTTCCATGCAAAGGCGATGATGAAGTTGGTGTTTTCATTCTCGAGAATTGCAAAGTGTTTGAGTTGCATAACATGTGGTATCATGTGGTTATGCTTGTGCCATTTCTGGGAGTGACTTGTACCATGCATCTGTGGATTTGGGTTTTCCTGACCAAGGAGAGGCCACCGCCCTCGAGACAAACGAATCCGATTGATTTATGAACTCAGTGGCATGTCTATCCCAGGCAACTGTTGCACATGTCAATACATTGTATTGGTCTTGGTGCTCTGGATTTGCCTGCAGGTCCTAGCGAAGATGCTGCCACCGAGTCGGGCTCTGATGATGACAGTGAGGTTGATTACCCATCTGACGTGGAAGTGTCTTGTTTGGATTTGGTTCCTGGTCAACTTATGTTTATGTTCATTTATGTATAAACACTGTTGTACAGATTAATTCTCAGGACTCTGTGGAAGACACAGGTCGTCTTGAACCTCTCAATGCTTTTGGCATTGAAGCTCCAGAGAGAAAGGTTGAACAAAATTCTTCTGTTGACAGTGGTGCACCTATAGTTTGCTTTTGTGCAATGCAAGAGATGAGTTGCATGTGGTGTCAAAACACATAAACATTATCGCATTGTGTTTTGTGGGTGGCAGCTCTGATGATGAGGTGGTACTGTGGTGACTCCACCACCTTGTGAAGGTGGGAGTGTTTTTTTTTTTACAGTAATTGTGTGGTCGACATGTAAGGCTAAACAAACAACTGGGTAACCTATGCAAAGCTATGTCAGGCCAAAAGGATGTGGAAACACCGCCCAAGACACCAGCGCCAGATCAAAGTGTGTGCCTCATGAATTGTCACTCTGGTCTCATTCCATTGACCTTGACCTTGGTGCTCAGGGGGGGCTCGTGCAAAAACTGCTTTTGCTTGAGCTTCAAGAGTATGAGCTTCTCTTGCAACTGCAAGCAAAGCAGAAGAAACAACTGCAAATGCAAGAGCAGCAGCAGCGAGAGCACCAAAAGCAAGGGCGGGAGGATCTACGCAAGTTGGTGCAGGAAGTTGCTAGACCAAAGCCACCAACAATCAGCCCTTCACTTAGTTAGCTGTTTGTTATCGCTATTTGTTTCTGCTTCAATGCGGGATCAACAATTCATGGCTTGCAGGTCCAGACAATGTGGACACACTGCCGTTGGAAGACAGTTCTGATCTCATCATTTCGATTGTTTTTGAGTTTTCAAGCCTGCATATGTGAATGAGGACTTCTTGCACCAGAACTGTTGGTGAGTCCTTCACTTACTTGCACCAGCTGGTTGAAGACCTTGTGTGTGTGTGCGCTATCATTCAGTGATGCTTTTTTAGGACTGTGATTTCAATTGTGTTTGTGGGGAGTTGACCAAACAGGACTGGGATTCAGCAATGAAGGTAGATTTCATGGCATTTGCAAACTAATGATTTTGTTTGGATCTTAAATGATTGTTTTGAGGCCCCGCTGATTGTGAGGGTGGACGTGAAGAGGAAGCCAAGGGTGATGGAAGTCTGGCCCTTGAATCTGCATGTGTGTGTGTTTGTCTTTCACTTCATGTTGGGCTCCGTCTGTGATGTGAGCAGCTAGAGGTACGGATGTCGACCTTGAGAGCCCTAATGTGAAGGCTTTTAGCGGCGGTCAAGAACCTGACTTCGTTGAGTTTGCTGGCCTTGAAGATGGTGTGGGTGACATGGCCATGGAGGGTTGCCAAATCTTGTTTATTGGTTGGGCTGCAGTAGCATCATGAAAGAGTTGCATCCCATGACTATATAATGTGTGTTTTGTGAATTCGTTTGTCCTGTCCACAAAGGTGGCAAGAAAGGTGGTGAAGCAAGTCAAGAAGGTAGCTTAAATCACACTGGAAGGTCTTGTTGATGTTTTGCAGTGTTCATCTTATTGCATGCAATATGACATATACATATTCTCTGAGGTAATGAATCGGTTGTCTCAGTGGAGAGTGGTAAGGCGGACGATGAGGAGGTGGAGGAGGAACAGACTCAAGAAAGTGGGATAACCAAATACTACTCCCCGGAACTCGCTCCTGCTTGTCAAGGGCTTTTGCAACCTTCAGCTACTTGTGTGCAAATTTTAGCAACACATCAATGCAACACATCATTTTGAGAACATGACACTTTTTTCAAATTATTATTGTGGAGAACACGTGCCTGAGGTGGTAACAGCTCCAGCAGTGCTCAAGAAAGTGATGGAAGACTCTGCTTTGCAAAAGCCCTCCCCACAGAAAAAAACGTGGTAGGAAACCAAAGGTTCAAGCAGCTCAGGCTGAGGAAAGCAAACCACATGGTAAGGCAAAAGCCAAGGCCAAGGCCAAGGCCAAAAGCAAGAACAAGAGAAATGCATGCAAAGGAAAGAAGCATGCAAAGACTGCCCAGACTCGCAAGGAGAGCAAAAACACACCCAAGCGTAAGGCACAACCTCAGCCAAAGAAACAGGCAAAACAACGTGCAGGTATGTCCAAGGAGGAAAATGCTGCAGCTGACTTACGTTCTCAGAAGTGTTGCGCTTACCGTCGAGTTCGCAAAGAAATGCTCCAGAAGGGTTTCGATGATGAAGCAGCAAAAGCAGCAGCACGGAAGGTCTCTTGATTAAACTTTTTGGAGTTGTAGGCACCGACATCAACAATTCAATGTGCAAAATCACTTGTAAATTGACCTAGGCTTACCAGGACTATACGGCAGACTGATCATCTCTTGATCTTGGATGCTGGCTTTTGTGTATTGGGGATCTTTGGGGTTGAGTGTCAGAGCTGTAAGAAATGTGGGTTGTGTGAATGAAACCAACTTGCATATAAAAACTTAGTCGTGTGCTTCCCACGTTGCTTACTCACGCGCTGCACATGTATGATGGATCCATGGGGTGAAAACACCCTAAACCATGCATACAATTTGCAAAAGCAAGCTTTCAACATGGCAAAGTCGGCAAGCGCTGCAAAAGACATGTGGCTGTTCTTTTGGTCTGTGCTGGCAGGTTCCTGTACTTGTGATGCACTGACGGGACTTGATGGAAATGCACAAACCATCAAATAATATATATGAACCATTTGTGGAAGCAAATCTGTGCCAGGTACTCTTGGAGCCACTTGCAAGATCAAGATATGGTGCCCAATGTTTCTTGTATGTTCATGTTATGTTGTTGCCTGTTTTGTGCCAAAGCTTTTGCATCATGATCAAGTGAGATTCTATGATCTGCATCTCCTGCATTTTGCACACTGCTCAAGCCACAAGCTGGCTGATTTCAAACATGCGACTACACATACATATTATATGTTGAGAGTTCACAACACTGTCCGTGGATAAGATGTCCAGTGGCCAGGCCAGGAATGCTTTACATTGCGCATATGGCTGTTAGCGAAGCTGTCTTCAACATTGCTTGGAAGGCGGCAAAAAGAAAGCGGAAAACACCCTACAAGGCCAATTGTTGCTCTGGGGTGCACCTTGGATTAGGCATGTCCCTGTTACTTGTTGTGGCAGGTTGCAAGCAGAATTGCTGCAAGACGTGGAGCCACTCCCAAGGCTGCCAATTCTAGCGCACGTGGATCACGGGAGGCCAGCTTGATGTGTGACAACATGAACATTTAGAGTGCTGCATGGCTTTATGTCAGGGAGCAACCAGTGATGAAGTTCCAGCTGTTCAGAGCTTATACTTTCTTGTGAGGTTCAATGGCAAGTACACTGCATTATGCATATACAAACAATTCGGTACTTGCTCAGGAAATGGACAAACAGGTTTTACCTACTCCAGTGAACCGACAGGACATGGATTGTCTTTTGTGATAGCATGTGTTCAGGACATGTGCATTGTGATTTGGGGCTCTTGTCAGGATAAAGAAACACAAACTCCACCGTTGTCCATGTTGCTGAAGACCCTTGCTCAGAAAGAGGTCGGTGTTTGGTTTGGACACATAGTCTTTTGCATGTGTTCCAGTGTGGCAAAATGTCTGTGGTCTTTGGAGGTGCCAGTGGAGCCCAAAAAAGATGATGTCCTGAAGGACTGCCTCACTCCTATAAGCTGTTTTTGCTAGTTTGGCATATGTTTTGCAGATGTGGGTGGGGGGCTGCAGGTTGAACAAACCACAAACCTTCTGAAGACTGGGTGTGCAAAAGTTGGCAAGGCTCTGGTCCTCAGATAGCTGAAGGTTTAATTATGTTTGTGGGTGTTGCAGCCATGATTTTTGTCCATGCATGTGTGGGCACCTGTCTTTGGCATGGCTCTGAAAGCTGCTCAGGCCATGGGGCCCAAAGTGATCGAGAAGAAGTTGATGCCAACTTCTAGGAAGAGGGATACAAATCCTGATAGTGAGTGGCCAAGTGGGTTACCACGACCACCACCACCCCCGCCAGTGCCAAAGGCACTGAACATCCCGAAGCCACCTGATCCGCCTGTGCAAAGGTGGCGTTGGTAGGAGCACGGGCTGTAGGAAAAAAACTTGATTTGCTGTAGAGTTGCTGTTTGCTGCACTGTATGCATTCTTTCTTGACCTGTCCTTTTTGATATTGACCCTCTGTTTGCCCACACCTGGCTCCAGGTACCAAAGCAATGACTGCTTGGCAGGTTGAAGCGCTGGGTCTAGGCAGGGTTTCTTGAGATTCTAGGTGCATGCGGCATTGCTGAGGCACAAGCATAGTTGCACATGAGTTGGCTTGTTGAGCATTTGGCACAAGCTTGATTGAGCACAGTTGTTAGTGCTGGACTTGATGCCTTTTTGGCAACGTGGGTCGGTTGTGCATGCTTTGACTCATGTGGGTGCTCCCAAAGCTGGGGGCATAGCTGCATGCATTCATTGGACTGTGTGTGATTTACTTGACTCATATTGCATGGTATGAATGCTAAGGTTCTCATTGCAATCGTGTAGACCTCAACATTTACTGTAGTGTGTGGCTCTGTTGACACTTCTCGATGATCCACCCTCACCTGCCACCTAGGTGTTGCTGATGACATGGAACAAATCCTTACCTTGGGGTCAACCGAATTATCATTTTCTAGACATGTTTGCTGGTGTATCGAATGCCAGCCGGATGTGGACCTTGCCTCAGTCTTGTTGATGCTCTTGCTTT